AAGATCTACAAGGTCCCTTCTGACCCGACTTCTTTGATTCTATGATACCTGTAAATTGGGCTTTTGCACACACAAGTGACTAGTGTTGCATCTGGATTGGTATTTTTTTGCCAAATGCCAGAACTACACTGACTTCAATGGGCACTGGATTGAAATCTTGCTGTTGTGAGTGAAAGGAAGGGGTAATACAAAAATGGTTGCACTCACCAGGAATACCACTGGAGGCCCTCCAATCAGGGCAATGGCTGTAGACAGCTTGCGCCGGTTCCCTCCACTGTAATTCCCAGCATATTTTTCTCCATATTTTACAAGACCAAGTTTACGAACTGCCCAGTCCCCGACCTGCAGGAAGAGAGGGCAGTGTGACCTGACGTGAGGACAGCAAGGACTCCTCAGCAGCAAAGGGATGCAATTTTCCTGACTCTGGTGGGTCCTGCCCTGCTGAGTCTATCAACTGGAAACACCACCTGTGCCAGTCAGTGCCAACTGCCAGCATTACAACTGTGGACTCTCAGACCAGGGTACTGGATCATGGGATATAGCACAGCTCATTCCCCACTGAAGGCAGGAGACATGCATAGCGTCCTTCCTCAGGAAAGGAGAAGAGCTATTTGCTCCTCTGACACCCAAAGGTACCAGTGTTGGCAGCACATCCAAGGCTGGGCACCATTGTGCAGGAAGCCAGTTATGCAGCACAGTCATTGCGTAACACGTGACACAAATTCACTTTGTGGCCCCAGTAGATAGCTTGAAAGGAAAACCACCCAATATTGCTCAGGGTCTTACACGTTGCCAATATCAAGTTGGGGCTTTCAAAAGACGGGGGAAGAACTTCAGCTGGGATGAAACAGCACAATGCATTTTACACCAGATTTGGCCCAAAGCCCCTAAGTGGCCTTGTCCAAAATGTTTATTACATGTGCCGGGTCCACATTTCACCCATCAGCTCAACCCAGGGCCATGCTTACCTTGCAAACTTCTTTCTCCGGAATGCCTCTTAAGAGTGCAAATAACTCCAGATGCTCTCTTCCTGTCAGCAGCTCGCTAATAGCATCAAACTGAGGGCAGTAGCCCATGTTCTGATGGACTTCCTGGATTTTAGACAGGATGCTGCAAGGCAAGACAATATCTTGTTAGCCTTTTGCACTCATCCATTGCCATTTCAGGTACAGGAGACAGGAAAGGAATGAGACAAATGAGAGATTTTTGAGGTGTATGACCCTAACTACTGAGGTGAATGTGTTGCTGAGACCTCAAAGCAATTTTGGACAAAGTGAATTCATTCTGACACATGACTTAAGTGTGATGGGAACCGTTTTCATATACACCCAAGTGATTTAGGAGTATAAGTCTTGTTTTCAAAAGGGGCACAATGCAGTGTTGAACATTTCAATGCATTTTAACAATGCAGTTTTGAACTGTGACTCACATTCAGCAAAGCACTCAAGGCACATGCTTAAAGCTAAGCAAAAAGGGTGTCAAAAGTTTTAACCCCAGTGTAAGGAGTGAGACTGCAGCACAGTTGGTGGAGACAAATATCAGGAATTTTCTTTGCATACAGAAGAGGGGAGTATCAAGACTTGCAGGGTCTTCCTCTAACCTGTTTCCCTTGAGAAAAGCTTCTCCCCCCGTCACATCCGTGTCTCCAGTTAGCATCTTGAAAGTTGATGACTTGCCAGCACCGTTCACTCCCAGGAGCCCAAAGCACTGGAAACATTAAAAGATTGGCTGAGCACAGGCAAATGGCAGGGTGTTGTGTGATCTGCAGGATCTTTATAAATGAGACTGATGCATGAGATGGGAAGAGGCCACCCTGGCTGGCTTCAGAGTCAGGGAGGAACAAATGTCTTTGTAGTTACAAATGCAAAGAATTGGATCTGAACTTCATGAGGCGGGATGAACCTGAATTCCTGCCACTGTAGAGTCACCCTCAGGTTAATGCTGAGGTAATGAAGTTACTTCCAAACACAAATCATTTGGAAAGGAGAAGTGAACAAACTCTACATTATCTACCTACTTTATGAACCTGTCATTGTGATATCTGGGGACTTGCGAAACCTTAGTGTTTCTATCCTAATACCCCACAGTGAGGTAGTAGGGTGCTGGTGCCTATCCTTGTTTTTACAAACACAGGGATTCAGGCACTTCCCCAAGGTCACATGTGGGGAGCCTGTGGCTAAGCTTCAAACTGCCTTAACCCTAGGGCTATCTTCCCTCTTCATTAACAACTAACCTCAATGGCTGTGTAGACAAAACAGGGGGCATTGGTGCATGACACTTTAGAACGGGTTAAATACTTTTGCACTGCTTTAATGGTGTTGGTATTTGCACGTGTCAGTGGGCTACTGTGCAGTAATTCCAGCCGCTGTAGTAAATTCAGC